AGAACGAAGAAAGCCCAGCTCTTCTCTAAGCCCCAGCACACCTGGTTTTGTCAGTGCATGCTATGGGGTTTTCTGTTCTTGTTTCTGAGTTATGAGAAAATGATAAAGATGTACTGTGTGATCTTTTCCTCACTCTAGAAAGAGCAAGAAGCCCATCTCTAGGCAGTGGGGTTGCAAATGTGGCTCAGCCTCTACAGAGCATGACTCTGAGACAGCCAGTTCCCCTGGATGGGTCTCTGTCTGCAAAAGGAGGAGTTAGATGGAAAGGAAGTTAACTTGCTGGTGAACACAGACTTCCAGGCTGGAACACATGGTTTAGGCCTAAATGCATGGTACACGGCTGCTCCTGTGAGCAGCAAGTTTCCCTTCTCCAGCCAGCAAGAGCAAAACTATTACTGTCTTCTGATTGGCGATTTCAGTACCCTGCCTACATAGCGACAGAGAGACGACCACATCATGGTTTGGCCAGAGAATGAAGCCAGCCTGGGTGTGGTCACCCAGCAGACGCTCATGGGAAGAAGCCAGGGGTTGGACTGGGGTCCATATGCCTCCTCACCATCATCTAGCTGTGTGTCCCTGCCTGTGTTCCTCTCTGAGCGGAAACAAGTCCAAAACAATCAGAGATGTAGTAGTTAACCCTCTCAGCCCTCCCTCATCTGGCTCCCTCTGCCAGCCTGTTTTGAGGGTAATTCTGAAAATTAGGAACCAGAAAGGCTGCCTCCTCCTTCTCTTCCTTCTCCTTCCTCCTCCTCTGCCTCCTTCCTTCTCCTCCTTTTCTTTGTACTGATACTTGAACTCAAGACCTGGTACTAACCCTTAGCTTTTATGTTCAAGGCTGGTACTCTTAAAACTTGAACCACAGCTCTACTTCCAGCTTTTTGGTGGTTAATTGGAGATAAGAGTCTCACAGACTTTTCTACCCAGGCTGATTTGAAACCATGATCCTCAGATATCCGCTTCCTGAGTAGCTAGGATTACAGGGATGAGCCACCCATGCTTGCTTGGCTAGTGTTGGTGTTGTTCTTTTTTATTTTTCTTTTGTGCCAGTAGTGGGGCTTGAACTCGGGGCCTGGGCTCTCTCTGAATTGTTTTGCTCAAAGCTAGTGTTCTACCACTTGCCTCACAGCACCATTTCTGTTTTTGTTTTGGGGTTTTTTGTTTTGTTTTGTTTTGCAGGAGGGGGGGAGGCTTGGTGGTTAATTAGAGGTAAGAGCCACATGGACTTATCCTATCTGAGCTGGCTTCAAATCAAGATCCTTAGATCTCAGCCTCTTAAATAACTAGGATTATAGATATGAGCCACCAGTGCCTGGTTAATGGTCTATATATATTTTTTAAATATCATCTCAGATAGGAAATGATGTGAGAACAGGAGAGCAGAAGATAGTATTCTAATTTTTAAAAACTGGTTATTTACTTTGAAACACGGTCTCCATATATAGACCAGGCTGTCCTCAAACTCTATATATTCCTGCCTCAGCTTCTAGAAGGGCTACCACATCTGGTTTAGGAAATGATCTTTACTTCTAAAGGAAGATCGCTGTCTGTAGATACAGGTACAAGGTATTGAAGAGTCAGAACAATGTTGCAGTCATTCAGGGATACACTGTAGCATTATTCAGAGCAGATATTGTTGCATCCAGAAATACACTGTTTCACTTAGGGTATATTGTCTCATTCATGCAGAGCACATATTATTGCATTTGAAGATATAGTGTTACATCTAGGATGTACTGTTGCATTCATTCAGTACACACATTACTGCATTTATTCAGAACATACATTGTTGAACTAATTCAAATTAATACTAATTTTATGAGAAACAAGGTGTACATTGCTTTCTTTGTACAGTTTCCAGAAGACTTCTGAACAAAGAAATCTTACAAAGAAATAGAACAGGGAGAGAAAAATTAAGAACTGTGCCCAAGTTAAACACAGTTAGAAAGTAGTTGAAATTCAAAATTATCCTATCTTCCTCCAAGGCTGAACTGCCTCTCTGAGGTATTTCCCTATAGAAACTGAGGGTAGTATGTGAAGGAGATGGGGAACCCCAGCCTAGCTGACCTCCTGGAAGAGGGTGGAAAGCTCAGCAGAGTCCTGAGGCTCTTCAGGTATGGCAACCTTTGCTATTGGGTTTTGGGTCCTTCAAAACTCCACCAGGTGTCGCGTGGTGCCAGTGGCTCGTGTCTGTAATCCTAACTACTTTGGAGGCTAAAATAATATCTCAGTACAAAGCCAACCCAGTCCACGAGACTCTTATCTCCAATTACACACACACACACACACACACACACACACGCATATAGAAGCAGAGCTGTGACTCAAGTGGTAGAGCACCAGCCTTGAGCAAAAGAAAAGCTCAGGGACAGCACATGGGTTCAAGCCCCAGGACTGGCACAAAAAAAGCTAAACAAAACAAAGGAACTTTGACCAGGTGGAGGGACAGCCTGCATCCTGGGTACTGGCAGGCAGATGGGGTGAGAGCTTTTCTTCACCTATCAACAGCTAACAGGATACACCACATTCACAGTCCTTGCCTCCTCTACTGACCAGGTGGGGGGCTGGGGATTGTCCTCACCTCATGTGTGGGAGAACAGGACCCAGCCAGTCCTCTTCTGACCTCTGGGAACTGAGCAGCCACTCTTTTTTTGGGGGGGGTCCGGTTGTGGGGCCTGAACTCTGGGCCTAGGCACTGTTCCTCAGCTCTTCAGCTCAAGGCTAGCGCTCTACCACTTGAGCCACAGTGCCACTTCCAGCTTTTTTCTTTTTTGCTTATGTGGTGCTGAGGAATCGAACCCAGGGCCTCAGGCATGCAAGGCAAGCACTCTACCACTGAGCCACCTTCCCAGCCCTGAGCAGCCGCTTTCTTTAACATGAGAATATCTTACTCCTTAGCCTCTCTTGCACCTGGTCTCAGACACAGCCTCAATAAAAGTTTTCCAGGCAAGACCTTGAAAGCCAGCTGGGGCCTCTTACTGTCCATCCATAAAAAGAAACAACACATTGCACAGCCAAGTTGAGAAGCATCCTCGCAGGACAGGAAGGAGTATATCAAGACAACCTTGTTTTAATAGAAAAAGTAAATGAGACTGAACTTGGCTGGTCCTAACACAGAGAGAAGAATGCTATAAACTCCGCTTTACTTTTTTTGTGGGAACAAATATTTACCAAGTTCCTGACGTGTTAGACACTGTGGCAGGCACAAATCCACTTATTCCTAACGGTGTTAGGCACAGAGGAAAGGAAGGCTCGGCAGAAATGAAGGGACTTGCTGAAACCCAAACTTGCCACCTCCTCCTCTTCCTCCTCCATGTGCTCATGACCACGTGCCTTCCTCTTGTGAGGATGGAACACAGGTAGATTTAGAACCCCAGAGGATGAGAAGATGTGGGCCGCGGTGCCTGGCTACGCTGTGAGGTGGGCAGTGATGAACTTCCTTCCACTGCCTCTCCCCCTCCAGGGTAGACTTTGCTTCCAGGCCCTCCCCCTGGGCATCTCCTGCCATTACCTCCACAGCATTCTGCTTGGGCGTGTGTGTCAGTACTGAGGCTGGAATGTGGAGCCTCGCAGTCTTCCTTGGCTTTCTTTTTTCTTCTCAAGGCTAGTGCTCTAACACTTCCACTTTGAGCATTTTGCTGGTTAACTGAAGAGTCTCTTGGATTTGTCTGCCTGGACCGGCTTTGGACCATGACCCTTAGATCTCAGCATCCTGAGTACCTAGGATTGCAGGCGACTCACCAGCACCTCCTTTCTTAAAAGGCTTCTGTTTCCCTCACCTATGAAAAGGGATTCCTATTATTATTATTATTACAACCAGGCAGGGCAAGGCCAGTTAGAGAAGACTTGGGGCACTGGTGAGAGGGCTGGGGAGATAAAGTGAACGAACGTGTGTGAACGAACGTGTGATTCCTCAGCTGACTAGCCCTGGAGGGCTTCATCCCTCCAGTTGCAGCCCTGCTTCTCTGGCTTTTGTCCCAGCTCCCAATCTAGGCTGAAGGTGAGCATCCTTAGCCCACCCTCCAGGGACATCATAAGCCTAGGACCAGAGAGAGAGAGCAGGAGGATTTCTGGGAGGCCCAGGACAAAGTGTAGATGGGTGGAGACTTGAGTGTGACCCCCCTTCCCCCCCCCTTTCCTCCCCTAGCAGCAGCCCTCACGTGGAGACCCAGCACTGGGGGTGCACAGCTGGCATGTGCATGCTCCTCCACCTCTGCAGGGCATGTCTCCTGCCGTGGTCCCTTCTATTCCCTCTGGCCCCTCTTCTTTCTCAAGGGATTGCGAACAGGTTTTATCCAGGGCCACATGCAATGTCATTTGTTCCAATGCCTCTTAAGGTACCCTGAGCTGGAGTCCCACGTCCCTGGCTTGGTGGCTAGCTGAGTTCTAGGGAGGCTATTGTCAAGATTGAGAGCAGAGAAAGATACACTGCCAAAGGCCAGGGGAAAGCCAGGCAGCGTGACAGAACGATGCCAAAACAGGCAATGAAATCAGACAAGCAGCAATCACACCAGTAGGCGACCATCTTAAAGACCCCACCTAGACTGCCCGGTGGTTGATGTGGTGGTCTGGTAGCTTCGCCTTGACCCAACCGCACAACAGGGGGAAGACAGGAATGAGGAAAGGACGGAAGGGAGAAGACAGAAGGGGCGGCAAGAAGAATGAAAAGAGCAGGGAGCTGGTAGGAGGAGACAGACAGGCGGACTGAGAAGAGAGGGACCGAGGAGGGGGAAGGCCTGGTGGCGGATTCTTGCCCAAGTGTTAGGGATTCTCTCCTACACAGAATCAATCCTGCATGGCGCGCCTCCCGCGGTGGCGCCGCCCCCGGAGCGCCCCCAAACCCCTCGCCGTCCCTCCCGAGCCAGAGCTGGGGCTCTGCCCTGCCAGCGCTCCTCTCCGGCCGAGCAGCCCCCGCGGCTCACCCCAAACGCGGGGAGGGAGAGAAGGAGGGCGGGCGCGGGAGGAGGGAGGGGAGAAGGAGGGGCTGCGGTAGGAAGCAGCCATGTGGTTCCAGCTCATTTTTTTCTCTTTCTCCACTCGTATTTCTTTCCAAACAGGGAAAAGTGTTCCACAAAGCGGTAGCGCCTTCAGCCTCGCCTTTTCGTCGTGGACCCGGACCCAGCTCCCGTCTGGGTGCGAGCCGGTGGGCTAGGCACTAGGAGCCCTCCGTGGCCGGAACAAGGGGCGCGGGGACCCCTGCACGGGGCGCGGGGGGCGCCCAGCGCGGAGCTGGCTCCCGCGCCCGCACATGGCTGCGGTCCCCAGCGCGCACCCCGAGGCACCGCGCCCAGCTCGCCAAAGGTCCGCCGGCGGCGCCGAACCGCCCCGCAGCCAGGCAGCGCGGAGCGGGGAGGTGCCCCGCGGCCGGGGACCAGCATGTCCCCCTTCCTCCTCCTCTGGCTAGGTGAGTGCTCGGGGAAGGTGGGAGTTTGCGCGGCCCCCGGCCAGCCCGCGGTCTAGCGTCCCGGGGAGGAGTGTCGTGGGGCCGATTGTCCCTGCCGCCCCGCAGGGTGCCAACCTCCCGGTCCCCGCCACCCAGCCTTGGAGGAGCGCATCTGGGAGCCGAGGACCGCCCAGTCGGCCATCAACGATGTCTCACACATCGGGGCCCTGGAGCCGGCCAGGGGTGGGGGCGTTTCCCGGGCGAGTTTGGCAGGGACCTGCTGGGCCCTGGCGTGGAGGTGCGCGCCGGCCAGGGCTGGCTCCCGGGAGTGTGTGCGGTAAACTGGAGCGCTGGAGGAGGAAGGGCTCCTCCAGGAATTTCTGCCCAGGTTCCTGCGGGTGGGGAGCTTTTTGTTTCAAATGGGAGCCTCGGAACGGTCAGATTGGAAACAGATGTGTTGGAGGGGGGTGGAGGGGGGGTGGAGGGGGGGGAGACAGGGCCGAGAGGGAAAGAAAGGGGATAAAAGGGTAGAGCAAAAGGCGCCTGGGGAAGGCGCCCGGGCAGAAAGGGACATGGGGAAGGAAAGAACGGGAAAGAGAGGGAAGGAGAGAGAATGGAGGAGAATGGGAGGGAGTGTGGAGAGCCAAAGGAGGGAGGCTGAGAAAGAAAGGGTGAAGCCAACAGAACAAATGGAGCAGAGGAGGCAAAGAACCGGCAGCCACTACTTCCCACTGGAGTCCCTCTGGAGACAGGAGGGGCCCTGCTGGCAGTCTCCTCCACCCCAAGCCTGTGTCTGAGGCCGCCAGCCCTAATGCACCGGCTGGGGCACCTGGGCTGGACGCCGTCATGCTTATAGGAGAGTTAGAGCAGAAATGTGTGAGATCAGCAGAAAGAGGAGGGAGACAGAGAGTCTCTGAGGGGCCAGGGCAGGAAGGCAGGGGAAAGAGTTGAACAAAAGTTGCACCAGAACCATGGAACCAAGGGCGGTACCCACCTAGAAAGAGAAGGCGCAGTCATCTAGAGTTCAGAAGATGCCAGGGCTAGCCAGCTGTGGGGACAGTGAGCAGCACTACCCAGGACATGGGGCCACAGGAGAACTGGCTGTGGACTTGAAAGGACTAGGCAGGTAACCTGGGATGGCTTACTCACTGTCGAGGGCTTCATTCTGAGCTCTCAAGCAAGAAAACTAGATGGTTCTCGAGGCTCTTCTGTTCTTGTACCCCCACATACAGAGCTGGAGGGAGGCCGATGCCTCAAGTCTGTGAACAAAAGAAAATGGTTCTAAAGAGTGCCCTTTGAGGTACTCTGAGAGCTCTGTCTTTTGGAAGCCTTACAAACCCACTAACACGCTTGTTAGGGCCCCCTCTGGCTGGTAACCACCCAAGCTAGAAGAATGGAAGAGGTGGACTCACCTAAGTTATTGCTCAAGAGGAGGAGGCAGGGAGGGGGAGGGAGGGGGTGTTCTCTGAGCTCTTCAAGATACTGGCCAAGTACTGCAATACTTGTCTGCACGTATGGCCTAGCTGGATGACATGTGTTTTCCTTACAGGCCTTCTCTGCTAAGCTACCAATGACCAGATGTGCAGGAGAATCGAATTTCATACTGGCCTATTCAAAACAGCCTCTATAAAATCCTTAACACACTGAGCATTTTGTGTATGGTACTTTGCTAGTGCCTTTATTTCACACCAACCCGGCTCACTACCTGTTATGAGGAGCCTCATTTACAGATGAGAAACTCGGTGTGGACAGAGGTCAGATAACTTGCTCAAGGCCATAGCTTACAAGCAGCAGGGATGGGATCTGACTGGAGGTTGAGTAGTGCTCTCAGTGAAAGGTGAAAAGGTGAAAATGGCTCTGGCCTCCAGTCAGTTGAAATCAGTTATGGCCCTAGATGTGAGCATCGGTGGTCATCTAATGGAGCGATGGATTAAAAGGTCATGGATTCATTGTTTTTCTTTGTTGAATGCCTACTATGTGTAGTCATTCTTTTGGGGAGAACATAATTTGCGAGGTGGAATCTTGTAGAATATCATAAGAGCTACTCCCTTGATTTCTTCCTGAGTCTCTTTACTCAGATGGCCTGGGATTCTGTATAATTGGCTTCTCATCTCTCATACACATCTAGGCATCTATTGAGCATTCTCAGACATGGGACATCCCAGCTCTACATTGATTAAACTATACAAGTAAGAAAGCATCAGAGGGAATCAAGACTGAGGAAACTCCTCTCCAAATGACATCCTGCAGGGGCCAGGAGCCCACCAGGAGAAGAAGGCTGCAGGCTACGCCAAGCCCCTATTTACAAAGTGCTTTGAGCTACCTTAGCAAAGCCACGTGTAGCAAATGATTATTAACCCAGAAAAGCCAACCCACTAATAGGAAGAAAGCATTGCTACTCCACCCTGTGGTTCTCTGGGCCAAGGAATATCATTAAGATGCAGCAAATGATGAGAGCTCCCTGTCCAGGAAGTTCAGTATCCGAAATTCTTACCCCAAGACTTATACAAAGTGTACAAATGGATCCTAAAATCATATACTGTCCTTTAAAGGGGGGGTTCTTGAACTGCATCTAATTCTGATTGAACAGGGTGGGAGGAGGCTTGGGAGGGCCAAGAGGGTTCCTAGGATGAACAAAGATGGCCAGCTTCTGGACCTGCCAACAAGTGACATGAATGCCTACCTGGTATGAGGGCGGATACAGGGGAGCCAGCCCCTCCTTTGACCATTTCCTTGCTCCTGTCTTTGCTGTTTAGTTTCTCATTCTTCCACCATAGCATCTCCTGGACTTTGTAATAGCTGCTGTATTCATGACTTGCCTGACCTCTAGCCTCTGTCCTCCACATTGCTACCTGATGGGACAACTAGAAAAATGCGAGGAGCCTGGGCTTGGGATTTTACATGCAAGACCTCTGGGTTGTGGTTCTGCGTGTCTGTAAAATGGAGGTCAGGATGGGTGCATCTTGAATTCAAGGCTTTTGTAATTTTATGGTCTTTCCCAACTCTTCCAAAACTGTTTGGTAATCCCTATTGCTAAACTCTTCGTTCTGAGATGGAGGAGCTTGGTTTCCCAGAATGCGATCTTGTGAAGGTTTGCTGCAGAAGTCTATTTGTTCTGCAGGATAATGACAGATGGCAGTAGCCTCCCATGTCTTCCCTCATCAGCCCACCTTGACGATATGGTCATGATAATGATAGTACTGGCAAGCTCATGTCTCTTCTCATGCTAGTCCTGGTTTGTGCTGAGCTGGGCACTGTACATACCAGTGTAATTTCATGAATGTAGCTAATGATAATGAACTAAACACACATTTTAGAGCTAAAGATGGTCAGAACTAGGGAAAAGCTAAGAGTCTACCTAAATCACTGGTCGTTAACATTTTGAGTTTCATATCTCCCCTTTCCCCAGAGAATCTGATGAAAATTACAAAACCACTTCTTGGAAGACACACATGCATCTCAGATTCTGTCAGTCATTTCTAGGGGCTTGTTGACCTGGTACTCTTCCTTGGAACTCAAGCCCATCCTTGATCTAAATCTACCTCTTCTTTTTAAGATTCTTAACTTAATTTTGCATTTCTATTATATATTAATTGTGGAGGTTTCATTGTGATATTTCTATTATTACATTTCTATTATATATTAATTACATTGAGGTTTCATTGTGATACTTCCATACATGTATATAATGTGCTGTGATCATAATTGTCCCCTCGATACTCTTATTCTCCCTGCTACCTCCCCTCCTCTACATTTTTTGTTGTTGCAATTTTAATCTACTCATTCTTTTAAGAAGAAGAGAAAACAAAACTGAGAGTCTTGGCTAAGCCTACACCATACAGTTTAATAGAAGGACCAAGACCAGGACCCTAGCTTCATGCTGTATCCTGTCAGACATTCTTAAAATAGAAAAATATCTTCCCTTCCTCCTTTTCAGCTCATGTAGTTAAGCTTTACAGTCATAGTTGTCTTCCAATGCTTCAGTTAAATGAGCTAAATGCTGAATAATTGGCATGGTTTTTATGTTGGGAAATTGCTTGAAAAATAGGGCAAATGTCGTAACATTTCAATTTAGCCATCATAACTGGAAATCCCGGAGACATTCTAAAGTGTCATGTTTGATGGCTGATGTATTAAGAGAAAAGGAATCTATGCTCCAAAGAAGTAGTTGTGTGCATACAAGGAACAACCTAGAAATGGATGGTTCTAATCCCTTCATAAATTTTGCCGTGTTATTCCAGGCAAATCATACCACTCTGACCCTTTGTAAAATGAGATATAATACTGAGGTTATTGCTGTGTTTTTTTATATCACTAACATACTCTAAGGTTTTTTTAGGGGGTAGGGGATGGTTGTGGGGTTTGAACTACCCTGAGCTCTTTTTCTCAGAGTAGTGTTCTACCACTTTGAGTCACAGCACTACTTCCAAGTTTTTAAGTGGCTAATTGGAGATGAGTTTCATGGGAATTTTCTGCCTTGGCTGGCTTTGAATCATGATCCTCAGATCTCAGCCTCCTGAGTAGCTAGGATTACAAGCATGAGCCACCAGCTTTTCTGAAATTTTGGATTCTAAGAATTTGCTAGCTGGTGAAGATACAGTTGTGATCAGGAACACTAATTATTAATATAGCAAGCCTTATTAATGTTTTCAGGCACTGTCCATTTGTGGCATATGATTATAAACCCAGAAAACCCAAGCCACTAATATGGAGAGCATTGCTACTCCATCCTGGAGGTGTCCTGTGGTTCTGTGGGCCAAGAAACATCACTAAAATGTAAGAAATGATGACAGCTCCCTGTTCAGGAAGTTCAGTGACTGAAATTCTTACCCCAAAGATGTCATACCAAACAATTAACTGTAAAAGAACCCCAGAAGCCAAGTGTGCTGGGGTTTGTTTGTAATTCCAGCATTGGGGTGGGAAGGCAGGATAATTGTGAGTTCCAGGTTGGCCTGGGCTGCACAGCAAGGCTTGGACTCCAAAAACTAAAACCAAACAAAAACAAAAACCTCCAGGAAACA